ATCTATGTATCTATGTATCTATGTATCTATGTACCTATGTATCTATGTATCTATGCATCTATATATCTATGTATCTATGTATCTATGCATCTATGTATCTATGTATCTATGCAACTATGTATCTATATAGATACATGGATACATGGATATCTATGTATCTATGTATCTTCAGGTAGGTATCTTTACTTATTGATTCTTCTCTCATCATTTTGCTACAGCAGACATCGATATTCATATATACAATATATTTTTTGTTTACATCTGCACCAACTCAAAGCAAGTTTTTTCAGAACCTTAAATAGAATACAGAAGAAGAATAGAAGAACCTTAAATAGTCTTAAATAGTAGTTGATTCGCATTGACTTAATCAATCCAAAGCTTAGTTTTTGCCGTGAACTGTCCAAAGGCAATAATCCATTTACACTTTCAATGGAATAATAAATAATATAAACAAAAAAAAAACCGCTCTAATAAATCATAAAGAAGAAAATGAAAGAGAACTTTAGTTGAAAAGTAAAAAGTTTGTTGACTCGTGCATTGCGTGCAGTGCATAGTTAAAGGCCGTACTTGCCTTAATGGCCACACACTCACACACACACACGCACATACAACCATGTGATACGGCTAAAGGCAGCCAATGACGACAGCAAGCATAGCTATAAGGTTAAGGATAAGGACAATAATAAGTGACTAAGTGAGTGAACAGGGCACCAGATAACGATAACGTAAATAATGACCAAGGAGTCAAAAAAACAAAGTGAGAAAAAACAGTTGAAAGCGATGTGGTGGGAGCGGGGGGAAAACGTGCTCGATATGTTATAACCGCACGACGCTCTCACAGTGGTTCGAAAGACATTGCACAACACACACACACACACACACACACACACACACACACACACACACATACAGAGACGGTGCGAAAGAAGAGGCGAAAAAATTGAATTGAACATTTCCGGGCCGACGCTGCCGGCAGCCATGCGGGCAAGGACAATGCGACTGTGGCGGACAGGAGTCTGGACAGCTCACAGAACATACATAGCTCCATTGGCATGTCCATGACTGACCCATTCAATTAAGCATGAAAAAAAATGAGCTGAGCGCGTCGTGCGTGGGCACCACGTGGAATGGCCAGCCTACGTGCCATGGATCCGGGACTCACTGCCATCCTGTTTCGTTGTTCGCAAAAAAAATACAAATAAAGGGACATCATATGCGAAAACGAATAACAGCACTTAAGGAGCCAGCGACGGACGCTGCCCGCAACAAAACACGCATCACTTGTCACACATACTTAGCAACAGAGACCGGCCGGAGCTGGGGGATGGGGACGGGGATGGGGATGGGGCAGGAGCCGGGGGCTGGCTATACCAATAACGCGCTCAAAAGGACTCACTTATTGTCATGTCCTGGTGTTGTTATTGAGGTGTAATACAATTTTTTCCATGATACCCATAACAATGGCAAAAAAAAGAACGTAAACGAAAACGAAATAGAAATAGAAATAAAATGAAAACGCCATGCCGACGCAATCAGAAAGGATAACGAGCCGTCGTCGTCGTCGTCGTCGTCGTCCTGGTCACATATGGCGGCATTAGTTTTAGCAACAATACCAAACTGTACAACTGGAGAGGGTGGCTACCGCACCGCCCCGCCACGGCCCGTCCCGGCGTACGTCGTCCGGGCATTGCATAAACTTGCAATTGAGCCAATTTGTAAAGTGCGGCAAGCCCATTAACGAGCCGGACTCGGCACACAGCACAACAGTGCGCGTTACAGGACAATGCCCACAATTCTGCTGCCAATCGAACGTCAGCACCTGCGTCATAAGGCGGCGACGGCGACCCAAATGGCAACCAAAGTTTTAGGGCTGTGTGACAGACCGGTTGGGGCATTCGTAAAACTTTTCGGTGCATAGCCCTTTTTATTTTGTATTCTCGTATTTTCTTTAGGGAGGGAGGGGTGAGGGGACGGCTCTAGAGAGGTTTACTACTTTGCATTACAAGCGCCCGCAGTTAAAATTAAAATAAAGTTCTTTCTGCTGGCTGGGCAGGAGCTGGAAGTTGGCTTCCTTTTTGTTTTATTCTGCTTCTGAATCTCTTTGCTGTTGTCGTTGTTGTTGTTGCTGTTGTGCTTAACTAGAAATAAATCTAAAACTCGCACATTTCTCAAAAGCCTCAGCTCCATTCGCTGATGGATACAAAGCGCGCAGGATACACCAGAATGGCAGGATGCCAGCCGGCCACACTTGGGCAACGCAATCTTATTTTGCATTTACATGCCCACATGCATTATGCATATATATTTGTCTCATGTGTGTGTGTGTGTGTGTGTGTGTGTATGGTTGATCCCATGGCTCATAGAATACTCTAACTGAATACCTTAGAGTAAAGCATTTAGCGACGTTCTAAGAAAACTTAAAAATTGTACTTTTTATATATTTGATAGTTGTGATTCTATTTTCCATAAATCTGAAGCATAAACAAATAATTTAGAAATAAAAGAAATATATATTAATCCATATATATATTTATATATATATACAAATTATCGAGATTCGACTGTATTAATTTTTTTTTATTTAAAAAAAACTTTGCTTTAATAATTTTGTTTTGGTCTCATTTAGTTTTTAGGCATTATTAAATATTGGAAAAATATTTAAAAAATAAATGAATTAAATTTGTATTCCTTAAAACATCACATTAACAGCCCGCGCTTAAATTTGTTCGATTTTCCCCATAGTTTAGATTTTATTAAACAACAAACTTTTTTTGAGGTGCTGGTGGAAAAAAGCTGTTAACCACTGTATAAATACTTTCTATGTAAATCGAAAAAAAAAAAATACTAATAATCGAATTATCGGCAATCGACTCTGCTATACTATATAATTGATGTATGAAGATATATAATATATTAAATACTATACTTTACTATACTATAATTGATATATCTTGATATATCATATATTGAATATCAATTTCATTTGTTGCATTTATTCTATACAGCGATTCAGCGAAAAACTCGTCACTGTTTCGTATAGCTGCAATGAAATATTTCATTTCATATATCACTGTAGCGTATTTGCAGTTCGATTCAGAGAAACAAAAACAGGGAGCAGCACTTTCGTATATCTTGCATGATTTTTTAGTGTTCGCCTCTGTTCGCTGCGCTCGTCCTTTTCCCTTCAATAGTTCTGTCTCGCTCTCGCTTCCTTTTTTTTCGCTTTTTTTGTGAAAGACTTTGAAACAAGACAACAACAACAAGAAGAAGAGCAACAACAAAAAGGCGAGCATAAAGTATGCAAAAAGTAAAACAAAAAGCTTTGGACACAAAGGATGCTACAATAATATCCTTAAGCTACAAATGCAACATGAATTTGTCTTTGCTCCGGCCCGACCCGACCCGACCCGAGAGACACACGCTCTTTCGCTCCGGCTGTCCAGTCCCGCCCACAACGAACGCCCACTTAGCCCGCACTCAACTTAACTTTGTTTTTGCTCTGTCTTCGAGTTGCCTTGGCAAAAAGCAAAAAAACATAAAAACAAAACAACAACAAGCAACAATAAAACAAAACAAAAAACAAGACAACAAAAATTAAAAATAAAAAAAAAATAAAAGGATACTCGAACTTTACAAATGCATACACATTAGAGAGCCAGTCCAACTGTGTGTGTGTGTGTGTGTGTGTGTGTGTGTGAGTGTGTGTGTGTAGTAATCTTATGCGTATCATGTGAACTCCGCATATGCCTTGCTGCTGCTGTCCTACAGCTAGTCCTTTAATCCTTTTTGCTGCCTTTGCTTCGACACTTATTTTAATTTATTTCATTTCATATATGTATGTATGCTACAAATGTCCTTTGTGTTCGCTATCTCTCTCGCTCTCGCTCTCTTTAAATGACTGCTTCTGCTCTGTGTGTAATTAAATAAAAACGCATTTCGAGCGACTTTAAGCACGCATACTATATACTACATATATGGTATATAGATCTCTCTCTCTCTCTCTCTCTCTCTCTCTCTCTCTCTCTCTCTCTCTCTCTCTCTGTCTGTCTGTCTCTCATCCTTTTTACTCACGCTTCCTGCAAATATTTTGCAAGCTTTTATTTTAATTGCACATTGAAATTAATGCCAAAGCTTTCAGCTAAAGAAAAAGAGAATTTCCAGTAAACAAAGAACACGTAAACCTCTCCCCCACCCAAAGTTCACATGTCTTGACACGTATTCGAACTAACTTTTAATATGTATACACACATACATGCATGCATGCACACATATGCTGATTAATCTATGTAGATTACAACACTGAAATAGAAAATTTCTTTGAGAAAGTTCTTATCAAGAGTTATGCTAAATACCATCAGGAAATCAGGAAGTCTAAAAATGCCCACATGCCCCACATTAACCTTCAAGATGTTGCCCTTTCTATCTGCTTTAACTGTTATGTCCTTATTATTGCACCCTTTTCTCTGTAATTCCCCAGCATCCATGTCTATACATCATCTGTATAGTATATATAGTATCAGACCTCGAATCGAAAATAATATCGTTAGCAATTACCAAAAAAATTAACAGGGATTTATTCATTATTCATTCAAACATCATTAATATTTTGGTAAACTGAGATTCATTTCAATTCTTCCGCATCTGGTGGCGTTTATTAAGAATCGTCCTATAAAATGCAAAAATAACAGAAAAAAAAAATATAAAAGCCTCAAAATTGGCCTTTTCAAAAGAATTTAGTTGATTGAAAGTCCCTCGCGCACCCCATAAAATGAAAGCGAGACCACCGAACTGAAATCGAGCCTACTTATGGAGAGTTACCCGAACAAGAACATCTTAGAACATCTGAACATCATTGAATGTGTAGTCGTCCATCAAGCCGGCCATTTCAGGTGTGACGGTGCCGAACTGTATACGATCCGGATTGACCATTGGGCGGACATTGTCACAGGATGATGAATCAGCCTTGTGGGGCAGTTGCTCCGCATACACGTTCTGATTGTTGTCCATTGGTGGCATCTCATTGTAGATCTGCGGTTGAGGCTCTTGGATCGGTTCTTCGTTCATTTTTTGGTCATCCTTGGCTTTGTGTTGATTGCGTCCCAACAGATCCCAATATGAGACATTGGGTTGATATACGGACTGATACTTGGGTGGCTCCACCACCTTGGGTACGTTGGGAGCTACCTTAGAGGCCAGCCGCACATAGTAACCGTCGCCGGTTGCGCCATTGATCACGCGCAGCTGGGACTGACGATTTGACAAATGGGTATCGTGATTCCCTATAGAAATTGATATATTTATAGAGAGAGAACGAGAGAGAGAGAGAGAGGGAGAGATTGAGTTCTGTTTGCAAGCTTACCGATGAAATGCAAATACTCGCGCAGCTCGCGATCTGGCATCTCCATGGGTATTGGCGTCTTATAGCCTGGATCTAGCTTATACGATATCTGCTCGCCCAGCAGATGGCGCGAGCGCCTGGACAACGACCGTTTGCCGATGGCGATGTGCTCAAAACCAGGTGGAGCTGGCGCTGCAAGTGAACGATAAGCAGTTGAGTCCGAGTGGGGAGATTTGTCAGCTGCTCAGATACTTACGGCAGGGACTACTCGGATCTAGATAGCGATGATTGAAATCCAGCGGCTCCCACACCTGACGTGACTCGCACACCGGCTGCCATTCGGCCAGCTCGTAGCCAGCTTGCGGGTATACCACCTGACAACGGATACGATATGGTGGCGCGAGCAAAGCCTCATCATCAAGCATTGGATCGGGTAGCTTATAGGCGTTAGGCGGCATTGGGAGTGGCTCCTCGGGTATGGCCGGCATTGAGGGCCTGTAATGGTTCTGGTAGGCATCCCAGTAGCCGTTTACTTGCGATTGCTGGGCCATTTGCTGTTCAAAGGTCATGGGTGTATAGTAATTGGGTATCATGTGATTCTCCAGATGGCCACCGTAGCCATTGACCATGTAGTTCATCATGTGCCTGCTGCCGCCTGGCTGGTAATTGATCGGCGTCGGGCAGAATGGATGCACTGGCCCCGGGCCATACAGATAATTCGGACGCCCGCGAAATTCGTGATGATGACGTCGTGGCCGAAAGCCTCCGCTCGACGAGTGGTTGTGGCTGTGGTGGCGATGGTCGGCATGCGAAGCCGGCTGCCGCGGATACAGATTGTGAAACGCACGTCGAAACTCTTGGGTGGCCGTAAGAGTGCTCGTGCTCGTGTTTGTGCTCGTGTTTGTGTTCGTTTTCGTGCTAGTATTTGTGCTCTTGTCGGGACCTGACACGCAATTGGGCTGGCAATAGGCAGTTCTTACTGCTGGCTCTGCTGGTCCTGTTGCACCAGCTGGCTCGGCTGAGCCGGCTGGCCCGACGGGCCCTGTAGAACCTTCTGATTTGGTTGGCTCCACTGGCGCTACTGGACCTGTTGGTCCTGTCAATACAGCCGCTCCGGACGGTGCCACTGGTCCTGTCGGCTTTGCCGATCCTGCCACTTCTGACGGTGCTGACGGTCCTGACGGCTTCGCCGGTCCTGACGACTTAGCCGGTCCTGAAGGCTTCGCCGGTCCTGACGGCTTTGCCGGTCCTGACGGCTTTGCCGGTCCTGACGACTTTGCCGGTCCTGACGGCTTTGCCGGTCCTGACGGCTTCGCCGGTCCTGACGGCTTCGCCAGTCCTGATGGTTTGACCGATGGTACCGCTTTTGCTGGTCCTGACTGTCCTGAAGGCCCTGCCGGTCCTGATTTTCTTGCCGGTCCTAACGATCTAGCCGCTCCTGCCGTCCCCACTGCTTTTGCTGGGCCGTCTGGTCTGAGAGGCCCAGTTGAATTTACAAGACCTTTTGGTTCTCCTGGTCCTTTAGATCCTTTTGCTCCGGCTGGCTGCTTAGGATTGGACAAAGCTTTTCCTGCTAACAGGGCTGCTGCTGCGGCTTTCTGCGACATTTTTGGAGCCAATAGTCGGGGATTCGGTGCCGCGGCAGTGGGACGCCTGTTAAATCGTTCGTTTGCAGCTGGAGCCATGGATGATGCTGGAGTGTGTGCAGCTGAAGGTTTCGGCGCGGGTCTGGAAGATCTTATAGAAATTGATGATAGTGTAGGCGCCATAGTTGATTTAGCCAATGCCATTGCCTTGCCCTTGCGTTTTGAGTTCGGCTGTCGCATTAGCATCATTGGAGGCGGTAACGGTGGCCCTAAAGCGCAGGGCAACCGCAGCGGCTCACTGATAGAGCCAGTGGCCACCACTGATGCCCATGTTGGAGCGCATCTTGATTTCATCGTGCTTACGTTTACCTATCAACAAATGCAGCTGCTGCTGTGTCCACAAACACTCAGATCCCCTTCGATGAGTACGGCGATGTTGCCCTCTGACGGCTCTTCCAGAGCCAACCACGAGTCCTTGTCAAGTGCTATGGCCCTGCGCTGTGTTTCAGGTCAATAGCACGAAATTGTGACAAACTTTGTTCAAAATGTAATATATTGGAATTTCGAGACAATTGACGTGTATTTTCACACAAATCAGATATATACATCAAAACGGAAATTACCTAGCCTACTTTGTTCACAGGTTAATTTAAACTAACAGAAGACGTGCTTTTTTGTGTAACATGATAACCAATAAATTAATCGAAAATCGAATCGAGCCGTTAACATACTTAACATTTTCTAAAATCAGCTAAAAGTCGCCAAATCACAGGATCAGTATTTTTTAATATGGCATTTTCTATTTGGCTTTTTAAATTAATGAAAATAAGATTAGTATATTTCTAATATATTATTTTAGGCTCTTTAAATTAACGACTTTTAGTTGAATTTTAACTTTATATAGAAATTATTAACGAATTTAAGCCAAAAAAGACCAAAATGAGAACCAAAATAAATAAAACAAATATATATATATACATATATGTGTGTGTGTGTGTAATATATAGAAACTATTCAAAACTTCTCTAATTAAATATTTATTCATGTTCTGTTTAATTCGCAACGAGCAAAATATTTGAAATATTGAATATTTACTATGAACTTTAGTTGTTCGCGATGAATATGTATACAAGAACCAAATGAGCTTAAAAGCAACGCGTGCTGTAAACGACTAAACGACTAAACGCCACCTGGCGTAAATTGCGCGAATTGAGCCGTGTCACGTTCAATGCAAGAAAAAGCTGCGATAACAGCGAAGACGGCCTCACCATGGATGGGAGCTTATAAATAAATGAAACTTTTCTCTAAGCTTACTCTAATGCGCCATCCAGTGAACAAATGTGGATGGCATATTTTGATAAAATGTAGTTAAATTCAAATGCCACAGATCTTGCAGCCTTTCAAATAATAATAATATTAAAAATAAAATAAATAAATAAGGCAAATATTAATCATAGCGGAACTACACTGTGCAGCACAAGGCTTTTGTTGAATTTATCATTTACTAATGTACATTTATTTGGAATAGAGTACAAATTATTCTGCAACCAATTATTTTCAATATTACATCGTTAGTCTTTTTATAGCAAAACTTCTTTTAAGAGAGTATAAAATTATATTAGCATATTATTATTAGTCAATAGTGCATTTTTTATACCTATAAAAATATATGTGGGTGTATATAATACTGCTCAAGTGCGGACGCACACAAATCAAAGTCAAAATCAAAATCTGATAATAATAAATTGAATTGCCGTGTTCATAAAGATAAGCCCACCTATCAGCGCTTACTTCATTGACAAAGCAGAGCAGAGCAGAGCAGAGCAGATATCAAGAGGTGTGTGGTGTGTTGGTAAATGCCGCAATGCAGCACTGTTCAGCTGTTTACGACTCGCCGCAGCGGCGGAGCGTTATCCAACACCTTAAAACTATTGATATACAACGATATACGCGGACTGACACTGACACACACAGGCAAACAAACGCTCACTGTCATACCTATAAACAAGCGCACACTTTCTATACAAAAAGAAAAAGATACTCGGGGGAAATATTTGATGTAGACGACAGTTGTAACAGTTCTCAAACTACATATTCGAAAACAAGCACTCAATATTCAACATTTACTCTTACAAATTCATATTCATATACATTCAACAATAAAAGGCCCAGCGGACTGTGAGGGGCGCAAGATCGAAATTCCACGGAATACAATATTCATTATTTTACCAAGTGGACTATCTATACATCCATACATACGTATTTATGCATGTCTATACATATGTATGTACGTTGCGCATGCACATAAGGCAACAGCTGGTCGAGATATTTACTGTAAACATCAAATACAAACGCGAATCGCAATCCGCTTGCCGTCGCCCTCGCCCCCAGCTGAAGAGACTCCATTAGTTTAGTCAAGTATTTTTTTGGATTACCTTTGGTTTCTCTTCTCTTCGACATACCTTGACTCCCATATATGTGTGTGTGTGCATTGGAGCGCCGTAGCCCAATTGAGAGTCGCTGCCCACCTCGCACTGGAGCATGCTATTGGATTGAGGCGCCATCACTGTCATCACTATCATCATCACCATCATCGCCATCCCATTGAGCTTGGGCCCAGGTCCGGGGGATCCAGTGGAACGCTCGTCCCGTTGCTGCTGCTAAGCGAGCCTCACGATGTCCACAACCGTCTCGCAGGCTGAGAAGAGCCTGTTGCGCGGCCTGAACAGGCTGCGCTCCCAGGGCAAGCTCACAGACGTAACGCTCATCGTCGATGGGCATCGCTTCAAGGTGCGTGCCACAAATAATATTAGCTTAGACATGCATTGATCTCTACATATATCTCTGTGCAGGCTCATCGCGTCGTGCTGGCGGCCAGCAGCGATTACTTTTGCGCCATGTTCGCGGACTGTGCCATGGTTGAGTCGCGCAAGGAGGAGGTCACACTGTACGGCGTCTCGGCTCGGGCCATGAGCCGCATCATAGTCTATATATACACATCACTGCTGGAGCTGAACGTGGACAATGTGGAGGAGACGCTCGCCGCAGCCACCCATGTCCAGGTGAAGGAGGTCATCGATCGCTGCACCGTCTTCATGGAGCAAAAGATTAGCATGGACAATTGTCTGGCCATCGCCAGCATGGCTGAGATCTATGGCCAATTCGCGCTGGCAGAGCGCGCCTATCGCTACATCTGCGCCCACTTGAAGGAGTTTGCGACCACCAGCGATTTCAAGGAAATGAAACTGGAGCAGCTCCACTATATACTCTCCTGCAACTATCCGATCGACATACCCGAACTGGAGCTGGTGCGTCTGCTGTGCGGCTACGGATTCGAGCTGCAGCTGAAGGAGGAGGCATTGGTCGAACTGTTGCGCCTCATCAAATGGGAATTCATCAGCACTGAGGAAATGAAGACACTGCACTATCAGAACCACTCGCTGGTCGAGGAGTATCTGGCCAAGGTGCAGGAGACCAGCATCAGCCAGGAGGCCATCAACGCCTCGCTCGATCTATGCCTGAGACTAGGCCAGGGACCGACAAATATGCGCGGCATGGAGCTGAGCCTCCTCAAAATCGGCGGCTTCGAGTGGAAGGGCCTCACCAATGAGATTATGTGCTTCTCCACTAGCAAAATGAAGTGGTACGAGCTGACCGCCATACCGCACATTGATCAATGTGAGCAGCAATCAAGTCATCCCCAGCGGGATCAGCTCCGCCTCTTTCAACTGTCTCTCATTATCAATCACCCTACAGGTAATTTCGGCACAGCCGTGCTCAACAATGAGCTTTTCATAGTGGGCGGCGCCTATGACGTCTGCCTGAAGGAGTACATCCATCCGTTTGGCTTCCGCTACTGTCCGCTGCGCGACTCCTGGGTGACCATAGCCCCCATCCAGCTGGATCGCTGCCGTTTCTCGCTCAACGCCGTGGGCAAGCAGTATCTGTATGCAGTCGGCGGCAGCGTTGAGTACGAGGACAGCTCCGAGGACGCACTGCGTCGCATGTCCAATGTGGAGCGCTACGACGTCGTCAGCAACACATGGACCTATATGCCCAGCCTCCAGGAGAATCGCAGCCAGCATGCCGGCGTCGTGGTGGGCGACAAGCTCTACATATCTGGTAAGAGTCCGAGCTGTGACCCATCCCTCCGTATGCTAACTGCCTTCTTTGCTCTCTGCTCACAGGTGGCATACACCTGGCCACCATACTGGCCAGCACCTGGTGCTTCGATACAAAGACCGAAAGCTGGCAGGAGCTGGCCCCCATGCCCACGCCCTGCTGCGACCACGTCCTGGTGGCCATCGACAATCGCATCTACGCCTGCGGCGGCTGGCACGAGACCATGCGCGAGTCACGTGTCCTCGTGGAGCACATCTACGCATACGACATACCGACCAATTCATGGAGTGTGGAAACCAAAATACCCGCACCCAAATTCTACTCCGGCGTCACCACAATGCGTCGCACCATCATCTTTGTGGGTGGCCTGGACTCGACCGAGTCCATCGATCGCGCCAGTTCGGAGACAATGGCCTACGATGTGGACACCCGCAAGTGGTGGCACCACAAGGACTCGTGGGATACGCCAAACGATGTCTGGGAGTCCACATGCGTGACCATGTACGTGCCCAGCTGTGTCTCCTAGCGACGCCGTCTCACAGTGCGCCTCCATTGACGAATTTACGCGACAATTTATATAGCATAATCTGCCAGTGCATGTCCACGCACACGCACGCACACACCGAAATTTATACACATCTATATATATGTATATACATATATATATATATAATAGTGATTAGTGATATATACATACAACATATGTACATTTGCATATATATATACATGTATAGAAAAGCATATATATGTATATATAAAACGAGGGAGAGAGAGATAGATATAGAAGTCGAAAAAGAGAGAGAGAGAAAACCTTTTAAATCGCCGCTTGCGCTTATGAGCTGTACAGAGATGAAAAATGTGCCAACAAAGGCCACTAAAAAAAAAAATTGTTAATAGCAGGTCAACGTTCGAATATTTAACTATTAGAAAATTATTTAGAAAACGATTTATAAAAAATAAAATACACTTTGTGTAAAAACTAAAACCAACCTGAACTTATCTATCTATATACATATATATATCAATTGATTTGATTGTCTATTAATAAAACAATTAAATTGGTTTAGTTCATAAGAGCGCGACAGACATGTATATTTTTTTTTTCAATTTCCATAAATTATATACTTAAGGACAGTTAGAATTTGCCGCATATTCGCAGCTACCTTGACTATTGCTTACAGAGTAAAAACAAATTTCGTTGTGAGCTCGAGTTGAATGTACTTGATGATGGACATAAGTTAAATGAAGTACTTGCATACAGCTGAGGTGGGCAAATATGTTTATAATACCATATATATATATACATATGGTCGTCATACATGCACAGGACTGTCACAGTAAATACATACATACATATAGCTATATACAATTATATGCGCGCAGCAATAAAATCTTAGATTGCTAGAAACAAGAAACATGGCTAAAAGATACTTAGACATTTAGGCGTCTACAAGACATATATGAACATATATATAGACAGATCAGATCTAACAGAAAAGAGAACGTTAAAAGACTAAACTTAAGCACGATTACAATTACAGTTACGCGTTACGACTACAGCTTAAAATGTTTGCTTTAAATGTAAAACAAATACAGTTGGAAGTACAGTACAGCTATTGGTTAAGACGGATTCCCCAGCACTGAATCCACGCGAAAGCTATGTGTTGTGATGCGGCGCTATGAAGACCCAGCCATCGTTATCCACGGCATCGCCGGCGGCAATGCCACCGGGCAGCTCCTGGCTGATGCTGCTGCTGCTGCTGACGACTGGCGGGGGCTGACGCGGATGAGTGGGCGCGAGTCGGTTGCCAGGCAGCTTCTCCCACTGCTGCTGCAGATTGTTGTAGAGGCTCTGCAGGCTCTCCTGTGGACAGGGACGGAATTCGATTAGAGAAAGACAATGGCAATGCTTGGCTTCACTTGGCTTACCTTGTCTTTCATTTTGCGTAATATCTCCTGTTTCTGCTCCCGCTCGATGCGATCCATTTGCAGTATGAGCTTGTCCTTGAAGTCCTGCGCATAGTAGAGGCTCGTGTCGACGCGCAGATACTCCCTGGCCATGTGCCGATGATCCCTATAGATCGCCTGCGACTCGGCATTGTTCGGTATGGGCGGCTCTGGCTGCAGCTCGGGATCGAGAATCTCGGCCAACGACTGCTCCGTGCAGCCACAGCCAGCATCCCCATCCCCATCCCCATCCTCATCCGCATCCCCATCCACATCCGCATCCACATCAGCAACGGCAACGGCAACGGCATTCGCATCGACGCTGTCATTGGCTGCGTGGCTGAGCAGTCCATTGGATGAATAGATTTCATTGTTATTAGAGCTATTGTTATGATTATGATTATGATTATGATTATGATTATTATTGTTGTTGTTTGTGAGGTCTGTGGGGTTGTTGCCGCCGCCGCCGCTACTGCTGCTGCTGGTCATGATAACCGGCTTCGTGTCCGTCACTGTCAAGCGTTCCCGGCCATCGCTTTTGGCTGTAAGATATTGAGCAAAATGGACAAATTTATATAGAATTTCAATATGAATCCAGTCAAACATATGTGCATATATATCAAGAGAGAGAGCGTCTCGTTTGCATTCACATACTATAAATGATCCAGCAACTGTGCAGATCGTTCGTCTGCTTGGTGGTAATCAGGGCGCGCGTATCGCACATGTTGATCGATTCAAGTCTCTCTAGACTAGTTCGAAACTCGATAATGTCGTTGCCCAGGCGCTCCTCTATGTGGACAACTGGAGCATTTTCGTTTCAGCGCCTAAGGGTGTAACTGAAGAGTTTTGTAGTGCACAAACTTATTTCCACAGATGACAAACGGCGCACACGAAAATTATTTCCAGAGTGTGTAACAAATCCTGTCCGCCCTCCCACTCTCTCTCTCTCTCTCTCTATCTCTATCACTTTTCGTTCGCTCTCTCTCGTGTGTTTGTGTCTGTGATGACGTATGTTTTCACTGCTTGTTTTTCTTGGGAAAATCGGATGAAAGAAATCAGAGTAAAAACCACAGACACATCAAGCAAAACATTTTCAAGCCAATTTTTCCGACGCTCTCGCTCTGACGTGCTCTCTCTCTCTGTCTCTTCTCCTCTATCTCTATCTCTCCCTCTCCCTCTATCTATCTTGTTGTTGTTGTTTCTTGGCGCTTTTCTTAGTAATTTCACAGATTTTCATAATATTTGCTTTGGCTGTGCTCGGCCGCCTCACTTCGGGCCAACGGGGCGTATGATTTATGCGGCGTATTTAGTCAAAACGCCCGGCGTTGACAACCACGATCGACGATCTTTGGAACGTTGCACGCTGCACGGACTTGCAGTAACATTGCGGCCCACTCAAGACAGCACGGTGCCCAAACGTAGACTGAGCACACGGCGGGCCACACAGTCCGCTCGGGCGGGCCAGCGCCAGCAGCTGGCGAAATTCGCCGAGATGAGCACACACATAGAGAGACATTTGCCAGGAGAGCATCTAGCATCTGGGGGAGGGGGCCCACTAGTACTATGTACTATTCGAAAGAATAGAAAAGAGAAAAGAGAACAGCTCTGCATGTATCATCGACTCCTCCTGCTTACACCTAAACATTGCCATATCGAGCAGATGGGCATTTGTGCCGAGCACTCGCGGGTGAATAATGCGACTGGCATGTGGTTGGGAAATCTCCGCGGCGATAAATGCCAACGGCAACGCCCCAAGACCGCAGTCGTCGCCTCCGTACCCCGTCACTTGCCCCCACTTCGCCCAAGATCCTGCTCAACCAAACATTGAGGGAGAGATGGGTATAGGGGACGAGCTGAGAGAATGTGAGAGAGCAATAGATCTCTGAGGATGTGAACTACGGTCCAACCCAAAGAACGAAAAGATTCAAATTCATCTTCAACGATCGCTGGCTCGTGATGATATCGTCCCCGTGCCCATTAAAATGAAAATGTTTCATTTTGTTTTCCGTCGCTCTGCTAGCATTTATTGATGCACACACACACACACACGCATATATATACATATATCTATGAGTCTATATCTGCACTATATACCCATGTATATAGACTCGAAATAAAAGTGATGACTCATTGGTCAATATGGTTGACTGCCGCGAGTTGGCCAACACCACAGTGGCTGGGGCAGTGGGGCAGGCTACTCTGCCAGCCGCGCGTCATGTCTCTCTCTCTCTCTCTCTCTCTCTGTGTGTGTGTGTGTGTGTGTGTGTGCGTTATTTTGGCATGCCGCAACCATTAGTTGTTTTTGTTATAATTCTCATTCTGTTGCTAGTTTTCTAGCGAAGGAGGCGACTGTGGTGACGATGCATGGCAGGGCTATAAATCTGCCCGAAATTACCAGCCAGCCAGCCAGCCAGCCAGCTAGCTAGCCATCTAGCCAGCCAGTCAGCCAATCCACAATACAATAATACAATAATTGTGCAAAATGTGCAGCAATGACTAAAATATATACTCTATTGGCAATGGGGCGTATTGAATTGGCGATCAATGAATGAATGTTGCGAAGAGCCAAAGTGAATATTATGATAATAAACAATGTTGTTTAAAGATCTCGAGCTATTAAGAGATGGAAAGAGAGGACAACTGTTTGCCAGACTGGAAGATACCCAGGCTAGATCCCTACTGACTGATTTCTCTTCTCTGTCTAATAAACATGTTTGCTGTTGGATCTCGAGAACTGTCAATATAAATATAGTGAAGAGATATTCTTGAGATGTATGACTAAATAAATGAGCGAAACATCGAAATAATACTCTGAATTCATTTGCACATCAAGAGTCTTGCTCAAAGGTCAAGTGAATTAATAAACATTGTTCATTTTTCGCTATTAAGACTAACAGAGATAAGTGCTCTAGTGGGCAGTGCCTGACTGGCAGATGCCCTGGCTGCAAGAGGATTCGAGCTATAAAGAGAGACAGCTTTCAGTAGGCAGTGCCTGACTGGTAGATACCCTTTCTGCATGTTTTCTTTATCCTTTTTTCCAAATACTTTTTTTTTTTTACTTAAATACTAAGACATGGACATATTCTAAATGAAAATAATGAGGGAATATTGAATGAAATAGATGTAATAATAATAATAGATGTAATGTAATGTATAAAAAAAGCGGTTAAATTAAATGCCATCATTTGCAATTTTCACACTTAATTAAGGCCTAAAATTTGAAGACACAAGGTAAAGATAATGAGGGGACATACTTAAGATCAATAGATTAAACAATGAGGAACCCATAATAATATGATAAACTAAATTTTACACTCGAGTAAACTGTTAATAATGGTTTATACATATATTATATATGCATTTAAATATTTGTTATGTAGTAGTCCCCTTTATGCTAGGTGTTTCACTAGTCAGTCAATATAACACATAAAATAGACAAAAAAAAAAAAAAACTACTTTAAACTCTTTTCTATACGATTCCTATGTAAAATCATACTTAGAACGTGATTCATTCATAACGATGCTTGTAAATGCTATAGAAATGTCAATTTATATATTTATATATATTTAGTATATACTAAATGATATACAAGTATGTAATATCAAGTAAATAATATACAGGTTGTAAAAGAGAATGGTATGCAGCAATCGAATGAAAGGTTTCTGACTAAGAGATGCCCTATACCAGGAGTACTTTTAAATTGCTGAGCATATTTAAAGTGATTTAGAATAATCGAAATCATGTATATAAATCATCTTTTGCTAGTCTGCTTAACTTTATCTAAATATTATATAAAAAAAATAAAATATTTATCCATTTTTAAATTGAACTTTTAGCAGCTCTATTTCGTGTCTCGATTGCACTTTGGTGCGGGTATTCAATAGGCGAGCGCAGCATTGCATTTGCAATTGAAATTCGGTTGCTGCTGCTGTTGTTGTTGTTGTAGTTGTTGTTGTATGAGCGCATCGCATATTTATAAAGTTGGCCGCCTGAGACATTGGCAATTGCAAAATGCTTTAAAATGTTTTTGCATAATAAAAACAACGCAACGACTAATTAAGCAAAAATCGAGCGATTAAAATACGAAAACATTGGGGCTAAAGCGAGATAGTGAACGCATTGTTTACATACGATTAAGTGTTGGTAATATTGTTATTGTTGTCGTTGTTGTTGCTGACGATGCGTCATCTTAGCGACCCCAACAGCTGCCACATAGCAAGCGAGACTCAACAGAATGCAAGCTAACAATTCGCTGAGCTATTTGCAACAACAACAACAAATTTACATGCCGCAATCGTGCTCATCCAAAAGAGCGTGCTAATGTGCGTGTGATTCACTCGCACAGACAATCAGACGACAGCCACAACGACAACGAAAACGACAACGACAACGACATCAATGACAATAGTTGCACTCAGGAACTCACCATGCAAACTGCTGCGGCTGCTCTCGCTGCGATGCAAGTCGAAACCATTCTGCAAGTTAAGAAATTTATAAATAAATATATCAAATGTATATAAATTCAGCTCGATTTGACGTACCGCTTCAACGTCCAGCGTAAGTTGCTCCATTGGCCTGCTGGCCATCTGTATCATGCCATTGCGTATGGTTTCCAAGCGCTTCGATGCCTCGGCAGATGAGGTTAGATTGAAACTATCGTTTTGGCTCTCGCTGCTGTCCTCCTCGGGTATGGCGTCCCAGCGATTGCTGCTGCTCATATGGAACAGTCCATTATTGTCAAGTTGGCCCGAGTTGGTGGGCGTGATTTCTGATGAGGTATATTCGTTGTTGCTGGAGCCAGTGCCCAGACCCGTTTCGATCTCAGTCGCCGTGCCGCGTGCATTGGTGGGCGTTAGCTGTGTGGACGCCAGACTCATATCACTGGAGCTATAGCTTTGGCTATCATATTGAGCGGCCACCGTTCCGTCACTCTCTTTGGTCACAATCTGCAATCGTCGAATTTAAATCCGTGTGAAGCTGTCGCATTGGGTAAGTGCTGATTCCGACTCACCTGTTGGTTGACAAACGCATACTCTAGCGGCTTATCGGCGCCAACATAGTCTTTGATAATCTCATTCATTACGCCCACAATGTAGGTCATTGACGGCCGATCATCGGGCACTGTCTTCCAGCAGTCTGTCATAAGTTGCTCAATGTTCTTGGGGCAATTGTCCAGCAGAGGTGGTCGCTCGCCTGCAATAGTCAAAATTAACTATGATTAACGCATTCGAATTGATCTGAATTTGGCTTGTCTTACCCTTGTAGATCTTCCACTGTATGGTGTAGGCATTGTCAATATCCTTGAAGGGCTGCTTCCGCGACAGCATCTCCCACAGCACTATTGCCCAGCTAAAGATGTCGCACTTCTCCGTATATGTTGAGCCCTCAAATACCTTTGGGATAAGGGCAATATAAACAGTTAAGACTAGGCTTTATCTTAGGCAATGTGTATGATAGTCTTTTATTTGGGAAAAGTCTTAAAATATTAAATTTATATTTCCACTATGTCAAATAAAAGACTATTCCACGCGTTCCAATAGAAAATACAAATATGATATATTAGGTAAACGAGACTTCTTCACACAATCTCTCATAATTTAAGCTATTAATTTTTCGTTAGTTAAAAAATTATATTAATGCTTTCCTTTTACCTATTTTTATCTATTGACAATGAAGTGATATATGATGTGTGAAGACTTTCAGAATCTTATATGAGCTTTACGCTAGATAATTCGAATGTTCTCTTTAAAAAAAAGTTTGAAAATATTTTAAAATTGCTGTTGACTACTTTAAAATATAAATTTAAAGTCCACCAAAAACTTTTGAGGGCAGAGTGTTCACAAATGGTTAGCATAGTCTTATCTTAGTTGAAACATAAGATATAGAATGCTTTTCGCCCAAGTCCATCTATCGAGAGTGAAGGAAACATAAATGTCTAGCTGTCTATTTGGAATCTCCTGCTTTCAGACAGTCTGTCCAAATTTGTATAATGCTTTAACTATCATAAGTTTTGATCTCCAAAACCTGACCTTTAAACTATTATAAAATATCTATAGCATTAATCTTAATGTGCCTACGCTTGAGAAATCTCTGGCTGATGGAAAGAAAGCAAGGAAATTGCAAGTGCTGCATTTGAAAAACCGCAGCGCATTCGAGTCCAGCTCACCTCAGGCGCCATCCAGGCAGCGCTGCCGCGATTGTTTGTCATCATGGTGGACTTGTCCGCCACGGTGCCAAAGTCGCAGATCTTCAAATTGCGCCCCTTGTTGGTCAGCAGCAAGTTAAGTGGCTTCAGATCACGATGTATGAGAGGCTTGGGCGTCATTTGATGCAGGTATGCGACACCCTGTATAAAAATAATACATATTGTACTTGCTTCACATTTTAGGATGGATATCAATGTGCTTCCTCTTACCTCTGCACATTGGCGTGCCCAGCTCATGGCATGGGCCAGACTATAGGCGGGCTTCACTTTGCCGTGCAAGAAATTGTGCAGAGATCCGCCCTCGGCATACTCCATAATCAGGTATGTCGCCTGCTGGGCCAAGCAGATGCCGTGCAGCGCAATGATGTTCGGATGCTTGACTCGCGACAGCTGTTTGACCTCCTTCTCGATGTCCTTCTGTTCGGCACTGGCAAAGAACTCCTTGACGGCAACCAACTGATTGCGCCAGATGGCCTTACACACAACACCGTACGATCCATGGCCGACTTTCTATGGGTAAGGAATGGAAGATCATATTGGTTATAAAATATTATGAAGGTTTTGGAGTAACACTAACCTCGCGTAGATCGATTTCTCTGAAGTCCACAGTGATAGTTTGCAATGCATCTGACGACGAGGCGGCCATCACCTGCAGCTGCTGCTAGCGCACTTCGTTGCTCTTGCTATTCAATAATGCTGCTCCAGAGGCTGGCTGCTGTTTCTGCTGCAAGTTTGTGTTGCAGTTCCGACTGTTAGCTATTGTTTTTGGATCTGTTTTGCAGCCTGCCTTCGCTTATGTCAACCAGCAATGAATCGCTGCGCACATCTTCCTAACGGCTAACTGCGGGGCTTGCCGTTGACCATAACAACACCATTGGCAACTGGAACAAGGAACTTGCACTTCTATAATCACTTTAAGCTGCAATTGGCCTCTTCAGTGCTCTTTTTTAACAAATATTTCGCATTTTTTTCGTATTTGGCCTCTTCGTTTGTCGCTGTATGGCTAGTGGTTGGGACCTCCGAATATCGTTGCTATCGATAGTTAAATATTGACACCACAAAAATCGAGACAGTTGTAGATGGGCAAGAGACTGGCTGTTAAAAACATCACTCATTTCTATTTAATTTTATAATATATGCCACCTAATCCTCTTCTGCTTATTAATAATATTAGTTATAAACATTTCAGTGCATCATCAATAAAAGGGTAAAAAAAGGTATTATTATATTAGCTAAAATTTTAGTCGTCAGATATGATTTTATTAAAATAAAAATATTAAATATTCTGCCGATTAATATCTGTTGCAATAATCATGCATTCATCCCTAGCTTAATCGATGTTTAAGAACATATCGTTTACGAACATGTCTATCGCAATTTTGGGCATCGACTTACTCAGCATATCGATATGTTTATCCATCCCTAACTCATACGTTCAAGCGCTCGCTCACCAAGCGGATGCAATTTCGGACAAGAAGAAAAACCATAATTTGTTATTTTTTTTTTACGCTCGTATTACACACTGCAAATGCAAACAAATAAGTTAAATGTGCTAAAGTATACACACATTGGTGATAACAATAATCGAATGCCTCAATTACAACAAGTGTGCTGCCTGTGGCCCGCGTGAATCCGAATCGAAAGTGTGCGTGTGTGAAATTTGCTTTTGTAGCAAAAAAGAAGAAAAAAGGCGAGTAAAAAAGTGCGTCTAAATATATGAAAAGAAAAAATTGTGCGGTTGTGAGGGGGGTGGTGGTTAGAAGAAACAGCAGTAGCTAGCAATAACAACAGCAGAAGAAGCAGCATTGCCCCACGATTTTGCCAAAGTGTTGGAGGCGACGCCGCCAATTAATGCTCGTGCGGCCGCCTTCATCGTCGTCGTCGTCGTCGCCGCAGCCATTGATGCCGACGCCAGTGTCACCGCGGCAATAACAACAACAAACAGAAACAACAACAAATGGTGCAACGGTGAAAAAAAAAACGAAATGTCAAACTTTTGCAAAGTTTGCATATCGAGAAGACGCACATAAAACTCGATTTATTTTTTGGTTTGTTTTTTCATTTTTTTTTTTCTCTTTTAATTTCTGTTGCTTTTGAATCGTTTTCTTATGTGTTTTCATTGAAAATGAACAAGTTCAAGTGAAATACATAGTTACCAAAGCACAAGAAGAAGAAGAAGGAGCAAAGAGAGTCTCAGCCTCATCATCATCTCCATCTCGTCCACATTCTCTCTTCTTTTGCTTAGGATGTGAGCGTGTATTTTTTATGCGTGAGGAAGAGGAATCGCTACCAAATATTACTCTGCAACTCTCTCTCTCTCTCCTTCATTGCACATGTGTGTGTGAGAGAATTCCCATTGCTAAGATTTTGTTTAGTACTTAATCTTGATACAGTTATCTGCATTTTACTGCTTTCTTTTCTTGGGTATTTAAAACAAAACAAAAATACAAGTAAACATCCCTTCTCTAATTGTTTACAGGGTATCTGCTAGTCGCGCAGTTTATGTTTTATTCATCTGTGTGTGTGTGTGTGTTTTTTTTTAAACTATGTTGATCTTTTGTTTATTTGTACACTATTTAAATGTATTCTCGTCTTGATGTTAACATAAACAATCGAAAGAAACAAAAACGTTTTTATGTACTCCACTTCACTTGTTTCTCCCATTCCCATTCCCATTCCCGTTTTGTTGCATTTGGAGTTACGTTCAACATTATTCTTGTTGCTGCTGCTACTGTTGTTGTTGTTGTTGTTGGTGTCGTTTACGTACACATACATACATACACACACACACACACACACACACACAAATTTCGAGTTTGTACATGAACAGCGAAAGTTGTCTTCCTGCTTTTTTCCCATTTTGTTCCTCAGCGGCATTTTAAAGCTTTTTGCCTCGCTCTTGCGATCGGCTCACAATTCCTGTTAGCAAGGGCATATGCAAATTTGCTTTTGCGACCTTCTGCACTCTCTCTCTCTCCCTCTCTCTCTTCTCTGGTGCTCGCTGCTGACTCTACTTGAGTACAGCTGTCTCCCTCTCTCGCATAGAGAAGTAGATAAAAGGCAAATAAATTAAAAAATCCTTCTATGTTAACTATAATTAATTTCAATAATTTTGTATATATATTTGTAGTACAATTATAGTACTTAATCCACTGATATATGTATATTTAATGAATGCTCATCAGCCATGACTCACAGAACTCACGAACTCTCTGCTTCAAGTCATAAATAACAATGGCCTGAAAACGTCCCTTCTCTTTTCATGCTTTTGCATACTCATCTCGTAATTAGGAATACGAAATGTAAACCAAAACGAATTAAAAAGATACAACGAATAAACCAAAAGAACCCAATAGCAGTAGTACTATATGCATACATATATACATATATATATAAATAAGTATATACATATATATTTTGTATGGTATATATAGGTGTTATGTGATTAAAAGAGTGCCGATATCTGTGCATATTTCATGCTCCAAAGTTCAGCTGGGGTAAGTCAGTGTCCCTTTCATGATATTGTTGTTGTTGTTGCTGTTGTTGTTGGCGGTGGTGGTGGTCGAATTGGCTGCAGTAATTGCCAGCATATTCATTTCCTATGCAAAGCGCCTTGAACTCGCGCTGCAACAACAACAACGACAACAAATATTGTTAAAGTAAAAAAAAAGAAGCAAAACAAAACAAAATAAAACATAACAAGAAGGAAGGTTAATCAAGCAACTAGGCAAGCTCGTTCGATCGTCCGTTCATCCACTTGGTCTTCGGCTGGCTTTGTTGTTGTTGTTGTTGTTGGTTCGAAGACAGTTTAGTTCCCAGGCTCCGTTAATCCAAACCGTATTTATATACATACATATATAATGTAGATATATGTATACATATGTGTGTGTGTATGTATGCATTTGTATTGGCTGTGCTTCAAGGTTTTATGTAATTGTTAATATAATTTGTTAGCTGTTGGTTTTTATTTTCATTTCTAATACCCTGTACTAATTGTACGTGTGAAAAGGGTATCCCGAAGTGTAAAGACATATAAAAGAAAACTAAAAGCTTATTTATTTAAGACTATATGGAAGCATCTCTCTATACAGGAATTCCTATGTACACTCAAAGAAATTTACTGAATATATACGATTTACCTTAGCTTTGTCAGTTAGATGGTTAAGAGCAGAGCAGTTCCAGTAGTTCCAATAATTAAATGCTCTTCCTTGAGTAAGTTTTCAGTCCTGCTTTGCATATCTTTTGATAAGATTAGGGTATCTATCGGTCAGTCACTTGTTCAAATTGTTCACTTCGGCTTGTTTTTGTTTCTTCTTGCGTGTTGGTCAAATTCAAATAACAACAAAAGCAACAATGCAAACAACAACAACAAGGTGGTTTCGTACAATCGTGATTTGTCTGCAATTGTTGTTATTGTTGCTGTTGCTGTTGCTGTTGTTGTTGTTGTTGCTGCCTGCCTGTCTGTCTAACAGTCGTTGGCCGTTATTATTGTGTATTGGCCAACTACACTCGACCTCATGTGATAATAATTGTAATTCTATGCTCGTTGTGTGTAATATATAATTGAGTTTAACTAAGCTAATACTCTTACTATATATATACTGATAAATCTGATTTACTAATACCCATGAATATATATTTAAAAGTGAACTTTTTTACGTTATCTATGCCAATGCTGATTTTATTCATATTTCATTTATTCTTATCTATAAGAAGTCGAGTTAGATTAAATGCATAATAGGAAGTTGATCATATAAGTATAAGCAGAATAAATATAAAATAATAGTAAATACAAATGATATTGCATAAATGCTATATAAATAAAGGAGCAGTAAAAGATTACAAACAATGCTAAATAAATAAATAAATAGATAAAAGCAAAATAATGAATTAATAAAATATTAACAATGTAAATATTATTTTTAATATTCTTCTGATAAATTTTATTATCAATTATAATTATTTATGCGGCTAATATAAATAATCTATAATTAATAATAAAAAATCTATAATTATTTTTAAATATTATTTACATACATAATCAAATATATTTTAGTATTCGATTAAATTATAAGTAGTCTTTTGGGTATTCCTTTCTGAGGCATTAAGGAAATCAATAATACTTCCCATCATACAAAAAATCCCACCAAGATACTCTACCAATAGCCTCGACTTAGCTTCCTGCTGTCGCCCTCTGGCGGCTGCTATTGGTACTGATTGCCAGTCCAGTTACTCACATCTCTTGCCATCGTCGTTGTTGTTGTTGTTGTTGCAGTTGCACTTGTTGGCCATTTGTCAACTGTCTCTGAGGAGCGTGAAATTTACAACGTTCTACAATTTAAATACTAGAGCTAACTATTTGTTACAGCTATTGTTGTTCGTATTGCTGTTGCTGTCTCTCTATTTCTGTTGGCATTCACGCCGTTTGCTTGTTGTTGCATGACTGAAGAGCACGATAAAGGTATGATGACATAACCTCACATGCACTCTATGCCCCATGAGCGCACAGCAAATTACAAATACAACAACTGGGCTTAGGCTGCGATAAAAATACCGATATAATGCGAAAACAAAATTATAATAATAATAAAAAAACATTGAAATATATTGCATACTTTTTTTTTTTTTTTTTTTTTTTTTTTTTTTTTTTGCACAATGAAATTAGGTTTGTCATGGCGCACAATAGCTTGTGATATTCATGTCATGCTTTCTCTATATTTCCATTGATATCCGAGTATATATGCAGCAGCTCAGCTAGGCGTTAAGCTATCTTCTAGTTGGGCACTTCCGCACTTGTACTGGCTCGCTATGGCAGGCTGGAATATATTAAAATATGAATTCGGTGTAGAAATCGGGGTATCTGTCAGTCAGCCATTCCAGTCTAAAGTGAGACTTTTATATAATATTATTGAGTCAGTGCATAGCTCGAAATATCTTCTATTTCCATATAGACTTTGCAGAAGTTAGATATATTCCCTAGTTGGATATATCACTCTTGTCTATATGTA